AAATGCCTTTCACACTCACGAACACGAACATGTAACAGAAAAATAACGTCTTTTGTTTAAAAAAGATTCTGTCAACCAAGAATACATGCGCAAGGCAAGATTTATGAAACGAAACAGAAAATAATCATGTCATTGTCAGTGCAATGCAGACAGCCTGACCTGTTTTGATTAGTTCGCCCGTTTCTCGTTTGCTGACCATTTTTTCTGGAGTGTGACACAAATGGTGAACATGATACTGCCAAATCAATCAAAAACCAGGATACGGCTTGGATACGCTGAAACTTTGTAAATCGTCCTCTTTTCAATTGTAAACTTTATTCCAGTGTAATAAAGGTATACCTACATGTACCATGAAAAATTGTATTGCATCACTTTGGAAATTTACGCTAAATACATGTACTAAATACTAAACAAGCGTACATATCATATTCATTTACAGCATCTGATTTTAAAACAATGACTCGTGGAATCACAAAGAAACTGTCAAGTACGTATTTCACACATTACCGAGGACCGCGGTAGAGACTGGTACAGCGGTAGAGACCCCTAATTATAAGCAGTCCGCGGCTCTCCCCGGCGTTCTGCGGTACACCGCGGTGCACCGCCCGTTTGATTTCCTACTCTTCCCTTAATTCAACATTGTAGTGCTTAGTTTTGCAAAAAAAAATTGAAGAAATTAAAATTTATTCCTACAATTAAAATTTACATTATAGTGTTTGTTCAGCGCTGGTTGTAACAGCTTTCTTGAGAAATACTTCCTTTTATTACAGTGTTTGTTGGTGAATTGCTTTAGTACTTGGGGGAGGAAAAAAAACACACACTTGTAGTTCATCTAGAAATGTTGATATTCTGTGTCAGTCGCTGTTGTTGTTGGCACAGCTGACAGCATGCGTTCATTCGCTGAAAATTGATCACTGTAAAAGCTGTGCTTGAGAAATGAGAATACTGTCAAGACATAGAAAAAAACACACAATTTATCTTCCTTCCCTGCATGCCATCCTAATTGGTTTTTGAAAAACCTCTTCCATAATTGACTGATTCCATTCAAATGATGTTTAATTTATCTTCCTCAGATTGTGGATGGATACGTTATGTATTCTTTCTCAAATATTGTGGTGCAGATTTCCTCGGTTCGAGTTGATGACGGCGAATGGCATGACGTACAAGCGGAGTGGAAGAATGACCAGATAGTATTGAGTCTAGATAATGAAAAATATGTGGTTAGTATTTTGTGTTGCTTCCAATAACGATTTATAGTACATCAAAAAGGCTATTTGTTACTTTTCATGAATCCACTTGTATTTGAAGAACAGTTTTTACTTCAGATGCCAAAATTATTTTTAATTGTTTTAACCTTTGTTAAGAAAGACTTTTGCATGAAGACGAACATTTTTCAAATATTACTGTCATTCACTGTTTCAATGGTCCCAATGAAATATACACTGCTACAATAGTTACTTTCATTCACTGTTTCAAGGGTCCCAAGGAAATGTTCATTGCTATAAAAATTTTCCGTCTTGTACTTGATTATTTAGGAGTCTGCCAATGAAGTTGGTAATTTTATTGCTGGTCTCAAAATAAATGAAGTGGTTGTAGGTGGTCTGCCTATAGAGGGCGGTGTTGAGTCTGCATTCATTGGCTGTGTTCAGGTGAGTTACTGTAGCTAAAGCATGTGACTCAAATTCATATATCTTATTTAACATTTTGAACATCAAATCTACAAAATGATTTTGTACAGTCTGCTCCTCCTAACATGAAATGTTATGGAAAATTGACAAACCTTTTGGTCAACAACTGAAGGCAATAAACGAAGTTGTCGGTATGGTCCAAAATGATGATGAAATTTAGTGAAAAGTTTATGAAATGTGAAAATATTTGCACTGAATTTTAATAAGGAAAAATATCTGGCAATCAAAACGTTTATGCATTGGTGAAAAGATGTTTCAATCATGTTGTGCATATCCCTATTTTACTTGAGCAAATGCTGTAATTGCTTATTCATATGGGAATCCTGAATGTGATATTCACCTTTCCCCTATAAATATTATTAGAAACTGCTACAAAATTTCATGATTTTCCAAAGTGAGTAATAATTTGTAGCTAGAATTTATTTGATATGCATATTGATATTAATCTATGTGCTTCGCTTGTGATGAACGTGTAAATTTCTAGAACAATAATCTTTTAGTAGCTGCCCATTGAAAAACATTGCTTGAATCTTATTGGAAATATGCAGCAGCTTCTCATGAGCAGATTCCAAATTATCTTGGTTGGTTGGCAGATCAGCAATTTGGTTCCATCCACCCAACCAAACTTGTCCAAATGGCACAATTATTATTTTTCTCCCTTTGTCAAAATTTGTGTTGAGATATACACTATTAGGCTAAGAATAACTGAAAAAAATGTATTTCGTTTTGCTTTTCTTTGTATTTTTGATGCAAATATTGCTGGGAACTGTCAGGTTCTAAAATGGTACTTCACAAAAACTGGACATAAATTGATTCATTCATTGATATGCTAATTAAAACACTCAAATTAGCACATATACAAGTCTCAGATGTGATATCTCACATATATTATTCAAAATGTGTCAGATCGTAAATATTCAAATCATCTTTTCCATGCTAAAATAGGCCAATATGTTGATTAAAACTCCTGTTGTAAGGGTTGTTTTATTTCATACCATAATTGATAAGTGTACAAATGGGTTTTATTTTTAAAATTTATCGATCAGTGTAATCACTATGACCTCAGAAATTATATAATTATAATATAATAGTTAACGTTAACGTTTTTTAAAGGAAGTTTGAGTCAAATTTAAGTTCTCAATCTGTTGACCAGCTTACTGAGCATATGTGTGAGGGAAATTGATTATAATAGAAAAATATTATCTTGGTGGAAACTCGCTGCCAATTTTTAGGAAATTTTGAACAGTTTTAGGATGCATAACAGTCGTATAAGATTTGTTCAGCTCCAGTGTCTGAGCAAATTTTTTTAGATATGGTAATTCAAAAACAAAGATAAAATGAATATTCAGTTCAGAATCAAAATATTTTCTGGTCACCCACTATTTTTATTTCCATTTTTCATATCTTAATAGTGTGAAACCCATTTTGTGAAAGTATAAATTAATTGACTTGTTTTTATTCAATTTGGTCTGTCTCCTTAAAAAAGGTTAAAGTGAAATAAAATAAACAAGACTTTTAATTAGTTATTTATGACCTAGGGTATGACTTTGGTGCAGATGTGAATTGAAAGGTTTACAGTGTTTCTTGTTTTGTTATCTTGTCAATACGCTCTGAAGCACCATGATGTCTTGAGATTTCCAATGGTAATGAGACTGACAAACAAGGAATCAAGACGTTATTCAGTGTAGGAAATGGAAAGTTGGATTGTTAGTCCAGAGATAATTGGATTCCCAGTTTAATTCTAGAGGGGATACCATGGTAGTGACATGTGTAGCATAGACGATTAGATACTATTCCCGCAGCAAATTGACACTATTCTTATCTGAATGTTAAGTGTATACTTAGAAAATCTTCTTTAAAAGATGCGAAAATTGATACCTTTTCTCTGAGATGCTATATTTTATTAGTGTCCATGTAAATTTGTGTATGAAGATAATACAACTCTGCCATAATGACAAAAACAAGTTAAGATGCATGGAGAATGGCATTATGTATGGGCTTTTTATCCACACATTGCCTGTGCTTAGAATATCAACATGGCCTCTCTGTGGACAAGAACGGAGAAGTAACGTGATGAATTTCTAAGTAAATTCATTAGAACTATCAATGTTGTTTACTTTTGTTGGTCATGTTCAAAAGTAGACAAACTTGTATATCAACTTGTGTCTATTTTTTTCCATCATCATAATTCCTGTTCAGCACGGAAAACGGGAGCATAGAATAAATTACATATTGAATTTAATACATACACCGAAAAGTTTATAACACCTTCTTTATTGGAAAACCAACACTTGATTTTTTTTTTTCCAAATAATTTATGCATTTCTAATACACAGTATGATTCTTTCCTACCTCATAAGTTTTATTATTTACTTTGTACTCAGGGTGTTAAAGTTGGTGTTGATGCCATGATAGGCGATCGTAATGATGAAATCATCAGTGATGTTTGGGTTGGTACAGCTCGTGATAAATGTAATGTAGAAGATTTATGTGAAAATAATCCGTGTCCAGAGAAAAGTGATTGTATCAACGATTGGGGACGATATCACTGTGAATGTCACCCAGGTATGTATTCAAATGAATTCACCAAGAATGCAGCGTGATGTTATATACTGGCTGTTTTGGATGACAGATTATTATATATTTAATATACCTAAAGTTTATTTCTGTCCTATAGTAATTTGTCACACATATCAGTTCTTATGAATATATTCATCATGAATTGTAATTGCTATCTTGTATAAGTTAGATATTTAACAAGTGAATCTTATATCTTATATATAAATTATCTAAACTTTGCCCCTCTGCATTTGCACTGTGGTCATTTGTCATAATATATTAATGAATATGCACAGACATCTCAGCAAATGTCGTTTTTCGCCCTAAGTATTTTCTTGATGGATTTGTAGCATTGAATTTAAATGATTCTGATCAACCATGTGGGTAGCCATTTAGTTGAGAAATTTGCACTCCTGAAATGCAGTCATGTTCTTCTGTATATGAATCATTATTAACTTTTTTAGCTTGTATGCATTCAAAATATTTTTTTCAATACTGTGAGGTTTATTATGAGCGTACTACAAAGTATGGTGTTTGGATTTCACTGACTTATAGCAGTGGTTTCTCTGACATGTATAATAATCGGAATGTCTCTACTTATGTATAGAGTTATTTCCTAACTTCTTCTGGTCAATTTTATTGGTAAAAATCATTTTAATGGAATTTAGAACATTTGAATTACATTTCTATGTGATGTATGTAGACAAAGGCGTAATGTGCTAAACTCAAATCCAGAGACAATTCAAATTTAACACTAAAATGTATTGTTTCCTTTACAAAGCAGTAAACTTAAATCCCAGTGAAAATCTCTGTAAAATCAAATCTGCTAAAATTAAACCCAATATTTCCTTTCTATCACCAAATATTGTTATAGCAGTGCTTTACTGTATTGCGGTAACATTTAATTGCTTGCTCTCTGCTATAGGTTACTATGGTAACGATTGTAAACATGCTTGTGATGAAGAATTGGATCCGTGTCAACACTTTTCGGAATGTCAGCCTCTGAAATCCTCTTCTCATGGATATAGTTGTGAATGTTCTGAGTTGTACTATGGCCAGTACTGTGAGAACCGAGTAGATGATCAGCCATGTACTAATGGTTGGTGGGGCTATCCCATATGTGGACCATGCACTTGTGATGTGGATAAGGGCTATGATGATACTTGTAATAAAACTACTGGTGACTGTTATTGTGAGGTAAGTTTTGGTTAAAACAGGGAGAGGGACACATTTAAAGTTATTAGTAATGCTACAATATCTTCAGCTATGCCATTTGTGTACATCAATGCAAAAGTTATTTTTGCTTGCAATTTATTTTCGCATAAGAGATGATTTGCTGGAAATTATTTTTTTTTTGCTACACTTTACATTCAACTTATCAAAAATCAGTGAAAATAAACTCCACGCAAAATACCCAAACAGCGGAGAAAAATAATTCAAGCTAAAATAAAGTATTTTACAGTAATAGTTGGTGTTCAGTCAAGTATATCTGAATGGATTTGGTTATAGATGCTCTGGAAGAGTAACTGATACCCTATTTGCTATATTAGTGGTATACGTGTTTACATAAATGGAAGTGCTTGTCTAGTCAAAATATTGTATATTGTAGTTATATTTTACTCGTCAAGCATGAATTAAATGGGTGCCTCTATTAAAGATGAGCTTCTAAAAGAGGATATATGACATGTATGTTGACATATATTTTTTTTCCATAATATGAGGTTATTACGAGGATACCTCAAAGTATGCACAAAGACAGTACAGCAGAAGTAAGAACTAACGTGCATCTGAGGTCGATGCAAAGGCGTACTGTCTGAGTGCATACTTCGAGGTATCCTCTTAATAACCTTATTATTATACATCTTTTCCTTACAAGAATACATCATGGGATATGCCGATATCCAAAAAGTTTAGAACAGAATCAGTGAATTTCTTTGTGTGGAGTCCGGTCCGGTCAAACCCTGGTTCGCATTTCCTAATATGATAGGATAAAAATACCCCATAAAATACCGCAAAATTACGCACACTGTAACTTGTGGCATTAGGGTGACAGATGTATAATTGATATTATGTCCATCTGTCCAGGCAATAGTTTGTAATATACAGGCCTATGTAAGAAAGACTATTGCCTGGAGTACATGGTCATCATTACAAATAATTACAATAAAACTTGGCAACACGTTTATAATGTACTAAGTCATGTTACTTTTGTAGGCACATTCTTACAAACCAGCTGATAGTGATACTTGTTATCCTTGTGATTGCTACGATATCGGTTCATATAGTAGAGACTGTGATCAAGAATCGGGTCAGTGTCAGTGTAAACGTGGTGTTATTGGTAAACGATGTGATTCATGCAGAGATCCATTTGCTGAAGTCACTTTGAGAGGTTGTGAAGGTAAGTGTTGCACTTTCTTTCATTCATTCACACACACAATATCATTTGATATTTTTTTTACACTGAAGATAAACCAATATTCCTAGTTTTACAAATCACGAAGTGAATCGTTCTTGAAGAGTTTAATGTGATGCAGCTCAACTACAAAAAATTCCCCATTGTCTGTGTTTTTTGCAATCTTAGTTTGTCTGTTTTCAAATAAATATTTGTACCCTATTTAGTCTAGGAAAATTACCTTGGTCTTGGCCAATCATGATTTTACTCAAGTCTTGTGTTATTTGCAGTGATATACAAAGCTTGTCCTAGGAACTATGCTGGTGGGAAGTGGTGGCAACAAACTATGTTTAGTAAAACTGCTAAAGAATCCTGTCCATATGGATCGTTTGGTATGGCGACCAGACACTGTACCAAAGAGTCGGGATGGTTAGAACCAGACATGTTTAACTGTACATCGGATACTTTCAGTGCATTGGCAACTATGGTGAGGACTATTACTGTATGATTTACTGTGAACACAAGTAATCTAAGGTTTCATTTGTAATCCTACATACCAATGTTTTGGTGAATATTTGCGCTCCAAAACTGAGCTACTTTGTATGTTTGTTTTGACAAGCACCCTCTAGTGTCGAACAATGCAATCTTGACCTTTCACCTCTCATTGCAGTTGCGTGAATTGGAGTCGGGTGAAAAGAAACTTAACACTCGTTTTGCGAAAGAGATCAGTGAAGAGTTACAGTTTGCCACTTCTGAGACTCCAGAATTTTATGGCAATGACGTAAATGTGGCTTACAAGATAATGTCTATTGTATTGGATTATGAAAGTCAGTTAGGTGGATTTAATCTAACTGCAACTCAAGACTTTATGTTCACTAAGGTAAGTGTATTGCTTATAAATTTAGTGGCTTGAAATATTTCAGTTCTGGGAAATAGAATAATATTGTTTCCTAATTTGATTGAAATCCATGTCATCCAGGTTATATTACTTGAAATCTTACTTGGTGTGCTACTGAAAGTTGTGACAGATTTCTAAGACGTACACACTCACATTAATATGCACATACTGAAATTTATTGTATTAAATTAGATTCTCATTCAGTTATTTCAAGTGTTAGTAAAATTTCTAATTGAGAAATGTAAATACAAAATTTTCGACATACATACTTATGTAAATTTTACTACACATCGTCAGATTTTAAGTAATTTTTTATTTAAAAAAAACTCGTTAAAAATTTTTTTTCTCTTTAATGTTCTGTAGATGTACTTCATTGCTTAGTCACAAGTAATAGAAAAATATCTTTGTTTTTTCAACTATGTAGAATATGCTGGAAAGTGCAAGTTCTATACTAGATTTGGACAATGCTGATTATTGGATGGTAATTCAACAGAGTTCTGGTGGTACTGCTGAACTGACAGGAAAACTTGAGGCTTATGGACATAATTTAGCCAGGAATTTGGAATCTACGTTTACGGAACCTTTTGCACTGGTTACCCCTAATATAAGTAAGTAGCTATTTCTGTTTCTTATGAACAGAAGTGAGGACTCAATTATGTGTACTGGGTAATTTGTGTTAATTAATAAGTATTGGATTAATTACTCATGTGATGATCATGGCATAAGTTCAAGTGGTTGTATTTGCCATAACCTTTCAAACATTGTTGGTTAACAGTTGATCAGTAAAACTTGTTAGTTCTTTGATCTCATATCCAGGTTACAGCATCTTACCTATGCTAGAATGCTCTTTGGATAGTCGCGTGTCCAGAATGTTGAATTGAAGTAGAACTTAATGGATAATTTATATCATGTATGCAAATTATAATGAATTATTTGCATATATATATAATTTTATGTTCCGTTTTACTCTTACAGTACAGGTTTTGTGCAAAACTGTCATTCTCCTTACTTTCTGCACCTCAGATTTTATCCCATTAATCTTTCCATCATTGTATGTTTGCATCACTCATTGTATCCAACGCTGTGGATCTGAATTTAATCCAGGAAATCAACATAATGCTACATAACATCTATAATCTGTTTTCTGAAATAAAATAAGATTTCCATGGCTGAGTCAGAGTGTCGTGAACACCACAATTACAATAGTTGGTTAACGTTAGTGAGATAAAAGCATGATTATGTGCGAGAGATTGTCGAGAAGATGGCTATATACTGTGGAATACTTTATATTTGATGGATTAATTTTCGCTGCAAAGGCTTTTTGAGCGTTTTGTATAGAATTTAGTTTCACTGATTTTTGATGAGTTTAATGTGAAATATAGGGAAAAAAATATATTTGCTGGATTTTATTTTCAGGGAATCAACTTTTCAGCGAAAATAGCGAAAATAAATTCCAAGCAAAAATAAAGTATTCTACAGTACTGTATACTCTGATGATTGCCCATTATCACTGACAACTTCTAATATTCACTTTCAGTTTTCAATTTGGATCTTGTGATAAGAGAGAACTTTAAGGGCGCTAACATCCCCCAGTATGATAATGGTTTATTCCATGAAGAAGTGCAGGACAGTACAACTGTTAAACTGCCGTCTGATATCCTGGCACCACGAACTAATCAGTTGTTGGATACTGTAGATATTGAAAATAATGTTGGTGTGACTTCCTGGTTTATGTTTCCAACACTAGGACCAATGTTGCCTAAAAGTTATGATACAGACACTGTGAAGTAAGTATTAATAGTATTTGGCATCCATGTGTTTACTGTATTACATGTATGTTTTGAAATATTTCTACTGCCTCCTACAATTAACAGTTGTAGATGGAAGTAAATAAAAATGAAGAAAATTTCAAAGTACTACAATATCTTGAGCGAAAGGTTCCATAAAAAAATAGCAATAACAAATAGTGGGATCAGTTTGTTTCCATGGAAACAATGACCTTTGATGGATATTTGGTTTGAAACTAATTTTAGTTACTATTACCGGTAGATTGTCTGATGTTCTAATATCCACTCACAAGGGGACAACTTGGCAAAATGTCTGCGTTTATACATGTCTGTTTTGATTGGTGTTGAACATTTGCAGTGTATCTTTGACTAAACTAAAAATGTTTCTGTGTCTTTGCAGGATTCATGATAAGTTAGCTTTGAATACCCCTGTTGTTTCCTTAACATTGTATGATGGCAAAGCAGATGGGCAGTTACCTAATCCATTACCATCACCGATTATAGTGGATTTTGAATTAAAAGAGTCAATTAATCGCAGTGACCCTCAGTGTGTCTATTGGGATTATGGCATGTAAGTAAAATACAAATTATTAAATCGTATCCATTGAGATTTTATCAGTATGCTCAGAAGCAAACCATAGTGTTTGCACCGGGGATCTTAGATCAAGATCTTGCAAGTTTCACATAATTCATCAGTTATTTTTACGGCATCTCCTGGGGAGGTTTAAGATCATATGGATTATTATGCCAGTAATTCATGCGCTGTTGTTTTTTTATAGGGAAAATAATGTCGGTGGCTGGTCTACCAAGGGATGTACATTACAGTTGCATAACAAAAGCAGTAATAGAGTAGAATGTGCATGTACGCATATGACTCAGTTTGCTGTACTCATGGACGTCTCGCCAACACCAGTAAGTCATAGTTCTGCAAATAAAACATAAGCTAACTTTATAAATCGTGTGTTACAGTGATTCATCATTTCTGATGCAATAAATGATTGTTTTTGTCCAAAATGCACAATTATATATTGTTGAATTAATAAGGAAATTTTTTTTCATCGTTGAATTGTTCAGCATTTAGTTTTGTGAAATTCTCCATTGCTGTGATTGACAACTTTCTTTACCACCAGAGGGCGGTATGCTACAAAACACATTTCCACTGTATGGTTCCATTTCTGCTATGTTAAAAATCATGAAATTTATATACATGTATAAAATCTGCCAAAAACTATTTAATTAATGGAAGAAAACAACTTGATAAATGAAAGCAACACTTTTTTTAAAAATAAATGCAGATTTAGTCATTTGTATATACAACACAATGGCAATTAGAGTGCCTTATTAAAAAAAAACTGTGGGGATTGACGTTGTGCTATGATTATTTTATCATTGTATTTCCTAAAACATTCTTTATTTTAAATATTACATCAATATATAAAAAGAAAGAGTCCCTTTTTCAATTGTATCTGTTTTCTTATCACAGGTTGCATTGACAGACAAGATGGCCTTACAGTTGATAACATACATTGGTATTTCCATATCACTTCTGGCTTTGTTGCTGTCATTTATAACATTTGTATGTCTGCCTAATTTGAGATCCAACTCTAATAGTATTCATATCAACTTAGTCATCTCGTTATTTATTGCTGAATTGGTGTTCCTGCTGGGTATTGATGCTTCTCTTAATGTAAGTACCTTTGTATACCTACGAAAACAAACAAACACTTACAAATGCATATTAATGGTATTACAAACCTTAGCATGGTGAAATGTAGTAACTTTATATATTCAGTTCATAGTGTCACTAAGTTGAACAGTGAAATGTTATCATTGGAGCAATTTGTCAATGTGATTACCAACTAACAAACTAATAATGTCTTGTATTATCTACTAGTACCATTATTTAATGTAACTTACAACATGTCTTATTTGATTAGACATTTGTGTTCAATAGTGTCCTGGGTTACACATGTTGTAAAAATTATTTACCTGTTGTCAAAACGTTTTACAATATGTGCATGTAAAACTAACATGTTTCATTGCAACTTTCCAAAAGTGAAACATGCAAGTTTTATTCCAAATTAAGAAATTAAAATATTTTTCCCTCAGCCAAGGAACTTTTTCAATCCTGCATTGTCCTATTTAATCTTGTACCTAGCAAAGATGCACATGAATGTAGCTCAACCATTGCTTTTACCAACTGCATAACTTTTGCCATTATCAATCACCACTTGGATTGGAGGATGTTGCATACTGCCCTCTAGAGGCAAGTCAGCATGATATATTTCGAGTAACCATGGTTTCTGTTGTTTACAGTTTGTGTGCAAAGTCGTGGCCATTGCTCTACATTACTTCTTTATGGCTACGTTTTCATGGATGTTCGTAGAAGGATTACATCTATATAGAATGTTGACAGAAGTGAAGAACATCAACCGTGGTCAGATGAAGTTTTATTACGTGGTTGGATATGGCTTACCATTGGTTATTGTCAGTTTAGCTGTCGGATTGAGTCAGGATAAATATGGAAAACAGATAAATCAGAACGGAGAACACTTGTAAGTATTTAGTGCTATATCTGTCTCATCTTAGTTTGATTTAGGGTTATTTTGTTTTATAAATACTTACATACCTAGTACATGTATACATGTCACAGATACCAAAGATGCTGCTATTGGCAGTTACTATACTTTCTTCAATAGAAACACACATAAACCGAAAAATACCAAAAGTTTACATTATTTATATACTTTAAAATAAAAATTATTATTATTGTCAACATAGACTAGTATGCAATAATTAGAGCAAATTTGGTAAACGCCTACCGTATTTGCTTTATTAGTAAGTAGTACGATACATTCATTTACGTAAATTAAAGATATTTCTTTGGTCAGAATAATTTTTTAATGATTTTGTATAAAACAAAATGCACTTTTTGATTGATATATTCTATTAGTGTTTCTGTTAAGAGTAAATGCTGGAATTTCCACTGTCTTGCCAGTCAAACCACTAATTGTAGTTGTGTTCTTGTATTTTCTAATAGTTGCTGGCTATCAACTAAAGACAATCTTATTTGGAGCTTCGCTGGACCTGTACTTGCAGTTGTAGGGGTAAGCTAATTTAATTTAGGTTTGCAATGTTTTCAACCAGTGTGGTATTTTTTTTTTTACAAATGCTAATATATCTAGAAAATGTTGATTTTTTGAAGTGAGCAGTTAGTAGATTTTATGTGGGAAAAGCCTGGAAATGTTTTTTAGATGTTTTCCTTGTTGGCAGTGGCTTTACTTTAATATTATTATTAATATCTTTAGATGAACCTGATAGTATTTATAATGGCAGTGAAAGCTACAGTGCAGTCCAAGTCCAAAGATCCTGAATTCAGTACGCTAAAGTAAGTTTACACAGTTATATCCACACTCCATACATGCATAATCTAATATAGTAACATCTATTTCTCTGCTGATATTTCACAATAATACCTACCTAAGTTTATATGGAATCATTTGAATTTGCTGCTCTTTCATTAATGTTGTGGAGAAAGAACACTTGGTATCTTTGTAAGGTTACTTGGACTACCAAGTAGTGCATCATCTTGTCATGTCTATATCTGTCTTTGTATCAGTATTTTTGAGAAATCATACTAATATGAACTGGTTGCTCTTTTCCCTGTTTCTACTTCTCTTTCTCTGTTTTCTACTCATAATAGCACATTGATGTAAGTAATCCCAGGGTCACCTTCAGTACATTGTCTGTCATGTGATGCATGCCTTCAATAAACCCTATATATTATTTTCAGTATACTATGTAAACATTATTTATTCGCTGGTTTTTAATTTCAATATTTTCGCGAATAAGTAAAATTCACTAAATTAATGCGACATTGTTTCCCTGCTAGGTTTGGTGAACTTAAAACCAAGTGAAATTTCTCAAAACTTAAAATAGTGAAATTAAATGCCAGCGAAAATAGACAGTTCTCAAAAGATCTCATCACCCTCTTTACATCTATTATGACAACTTCCTGCATTGGTTGCACTTCTTTCATTTTCCCACAGAACAACTGATAGTAGAAATCAGCGTGCCTTACAAAAGAGTGTACCTACCTTATTAATTTTAAAAACATCTTGTGTGTTCCTTATTGTGTCAATTTTAATTCTTTGCTTATCTATTATGTTCTTGAAAATATTTTGTATAATTGTTTTTAAGGAATGGAATAAGACATCATTTATTTGATTTTTTTAGAACAATATTTTGATGCTGATATTTTTGACTGTACCAGCAGTTTTATATTTTGCCACGTTGTTTCTTTTACTGTTTTTTTTTTTTTCGATCATAACAATTATATGATTGACATACCAATCGTATAATCCAATCCTAATCATTATTTGTACTATTTTGTGTGCTTTTCAGATCTGGTTTGAAAGCATCAGCAGTGCTGCTTCCTCTTCTTGGCACTACCTGGGTATTTGGAATCTTGGCTGTCAATCAAGATGTCGGCATGTTTCATTATCTATTTGCCATATTCAACTGCCTTCAGGGTCTCTTCATCTTTATGTTCCACTGTGTCTTCAATGAAAAGGTATCAGCAATTAGCTATTTTGTTTTCTGTGAAAGTGTTATGAAATGAGTCCCCAGGAGATTTAAATTGGGCCTTAGTAACAAAGGTTGATGTGAAAGAAACTTTGGGTTTCTTCATGTCAGTGCATATACAGTGATGTATTGAGAGTTTGTATATAGAGTATGTAATGTATATTTTCCCTTTTTGATTCCCACAATCATACCTTCTATGCTCAATGATTTGTGTCTACACTTACCGACTCGTCTCCATGATATTCAATAATCCACCATACTAAATCTACCTGTACATCATGTAATCTTACATGAAAGTTGCATATTTTCCTGCCCTTGTGTAATTGTGGTATGATTTCTATCTTTATTTTGTATGCTGCAGGTACGCCTTGGTTGGAGACAGAAGTGGGCACGTATGCGAGGAAAGAAAGGACCATTAGATGCCACCTATGCAACTGAAACCACATTCATGGTAAGTAGAGTTATCAACACTTACACATTGGGTATAAATTGATCGTTATCAGTATTGCTAAGAAAAGTACTCAACACAAACAATTGCAATTTGATGTCCTAGTTGTTGATTTGTTATTAACTAATGTTTGTATTTTACTGTATACAGCGTTCAGCATTGGCGTATTCATCCCGTGATGGTACACCGGCCAGATTCAACATTGGCACATCAACTGGATCCACAGGTAGCAGTAGGACCACTAGCAAAACTAGTACTAGTAATTTATATCGTCCTGATGGCTATCTGCGCAACACAAGCACATCAACTACCTCACCTCCATCTGTTGTACCTGAATTTGCTACTGCACGTATGTATTACATAAGTCGTGTGTAGCTATCATGTATGAGTGACTTGGCATGTAATCACTGTGTACTTTAGACGATTATCTGTCAAACTGTGTGTTAGGTACATGCTGTATATGGTCCTAGAGATCAGCATCCATCCATCTAGCTTGTGCATTGCAAGTTAGCTGATAACCATTTGGGGGGGGGGGGGGGCAAGCATGTTACTGTTAAGGAATAATATCGTTATTTTAGAATTGGGAGGCAGTAAATAATACAATAACCAGGTTATAAGGATAATTTATATTGAGTACATTTGTATTTGACTCGAAAGGCAGTGACTGGTTTATTTCTGTTCTCTAAAAGCATTTCTGTGTGTGCTTACATCTATATGGAAAATGAAATCATTTTACCCAATGATTCATTACTGTTTTTTTTTAACAATATGTATCGGACTGGCAGTAACGTAAAGGGCAATGATAACGTTATGGTGGGAGCCTCTAATAACTTAAACAAAATTTAAGCTCTCTGAATTCCTTAATCAAAGTAAATTGAGCTTAAGATTACTTAGGCAATAATTTGACCGTGTAATTACTTTGTTTTAGCATTCTATAATTTAACCTCTGTCTATTTATCAATTCTTCTTCTCACAATTATCCCTTTGCAAATAGATAGTTAGTAACAAAATGTGTTTCATGCTACATCCAAGGAGGTACAGCTATTGGACGATAATTACTGTATTCTTCCTGTCTCTAATGGCTTTCTGATCTGTCCTTGCACACAATTTAGAACTTGTGATGGTAGAATGCCAGAAGAATTGTTTGAAATCGCAATGAACTTGAATGTTATTGTAGACTATATGTAATGTCATGAATGTGTGTGCGTCCTTCTGATACCTGTCATCATAAGTGGTACCTCCATAATACCATCTCCAACTCACTGCCCATCCAAGGTGCCACTTTGTTGAATGAAATCCACTCTCAAAACATCCCATACCCATAGCTTCTATCATAAATTGCTTATAAGCCGTAGTTATTTCTATTTTCTGCCACCGAACAACTTACTAGAATGTGTGTTATCTTTCCGACAGCTGCCTATCGTGGGTACAACTTCAGTAATATCAAGCCTAACCCTGATGGTATGCACTCACTTTTATATAGAATCCTTTCTCATAGTTGTATTAAACTTAAACCTGTCTAATCAGGCTCCCCAGTGTGCACCAAACTTTCTGTGTTACCAGTACATCCTTGTCCATATATAGTGCTTGCATGCTGTATCATGTCTTTCCATTATTGACACCTCCACATACCGTATGATTGCATCAACACTACTGGCACCGTACTAGTAGAAAGTTACTTATCAATGTCAGTGTGGGTGTGGATTATTTATTCATTTATTTATCATGACTCTCATTACAGATCCAGATACTGGTGAAGCCGATCCTAAGAATGTCCGTTTATTAGGTAAGTCTGAGATAATTGTCTTCTTTCAGCTGGCTAGTTTCAGCTAATTTCACATTTTATTTCAGAGTGAATCTTTCGTGGCATTATCGTTCATCTTTCTCTAACTTGTTCATTTCTTTGCCTCCATTCTTCACTACTTCTTTTCAGCCTGGTATTATGCTAATAAACTTGGCAGAGGTGATGGTAGTAGAAGGGGTAAGGGGTTCCACTCCTTATTTCTAATTCAGCTTAGTTTCTTAGTTTTCTCCCATATCTGGTACACCTATAATTTTCTTTCCCCCCCCCCCCCTTATAGTCTGCTGTGCATGGTTTACCCACTTTAAGTCTCTGTCATTGTGTACTTCAGCTTTCATCTGAGCTGCTTTCCATTAAAATGTACCAGAATCACCATCTTCTGAGTCGTATTGTGAAAACTGTTTTTATTTATTTAGCTCCTCTGCACTAGTTTGTAAAAGCTATTCTAATTGATAGAAATTCCCTATGACATCACACTTTGCTGATCTTCAGCCAATCAGAAGAGTTTTCTGTAAGGAATGGATGGTAAATTATTGCAGGGCAGTTGTATTGCTTATTGTATTGTAGTGCCATTAATCACTCATCTTTAACTTCATATTTAACAGTAAAACATCACCTTAGTAAAATGCACAAGGTATAATCCCATTTCAATTCTTTTACATATAGGTGCTCATGATTCTGATTCTGAAAGCGACCTTTCAGTTGGTCGGGAACCAGACAACATGTCATTAGCCTCATCTCATTCATCGGATGAAGATGACGATGGAAGTAGAGTGAAAAATACAACTGGACAAGACTGGCAGAAGATGCCAAATAAAGCAAATGGTATGACTCATCATAGTTCTTCTGCATGTAAATTAAATTTTTTCTTGCTCCAAATACTCGTTTCAACATCTGTTCACGCCTCCAATTAGCTTTACTCATTTGTGGCTAAAATTCTTCCCTCTTCCCTTCAAAATCAGATGTACATCCATCAAGGATGTTTATAATCTAAAAGCTTTGTTTCTCCCGGGACTGACTGATGCTTAGTTATCACATTGCTTGGTTCATATAGTGCTATGTAACTTTCTGTCACACGACACTTCATCAAATCATACATAGTCTCAGAATGAAATCTTGATAGGGGACAGTCCTTTCCATCATCTTTGTCCTACTAGATCATGCTATTTGTCTTGATATTCACAGTACATGTCTCTAAAACCTAATCAGTTTACATTAATTACAACTGCATGTTTCTGCTTGTGTTATTAGAACGTATGAATGCTGTCAAAAATATCTATCCTTCCATGCACAGTACACCCAAAGGTAGGACCACTCTCTCTTCAACAATTTTTTTTTTGCAGCTCCCGTTAACTTTATAGAACTATATAGAACTATATAGAACTGACTCTTGCATGTTTTAGACTCTTGATGAACTTTGACCCCATTCATCATTTCAACTTTGCATTGGTAGAATCATTATATAATCACCTATTTCAAGTATATAGTCTTCATTTTCCAGCTCATGGGTGATTCCATTATATAGGAATGAGTGGGGGTGGTGGGTTTACATTACCGGTATGAGATTATGAGGAAGGGATGATCGCAATGAGTATCCTAGGGCATGATAACAGTTCTAACTTAGTTTCAACCCCTTCCACACATCCACTCATCCAATCCTCATTTTAACCCAACTTTCTTTCTCTTGCAACCATTTATCATGTACCAGATGATGATGATGATGATTGGTGTTTTAGGCCTGGTAAGAATCCTCCTCCTTGGCACCCCAGAACAAAAAACACAGGTGTATATCATTTTGCATGTCTTGCACTGCTGCTTGTCTTGCACTCAAATTTTCATTCACCCCTTACTCTAGTACCGAGTGGTGCTAGCCATGGATAGTAATGTTTTCTATATTTTCTCTGCCGCACATGCTCATTGCTTTAACTATTTCATTTTGTTTTTATTTTTCTCTTTGAACTCCAACACTTAACTGTTGTAACTTTTCACGAAGTAAATCTATGTATTGTGAAGTACATTGCTGGAAATAATTTTTGCTGGAAAGACATTTTGACTATTTCGTGTGAAGTTGATTTTCACTGAGTTTAATGTTAAATATGTATTTTTTTAACTGATTCATTCTTTCAGCGAAAATAAATCCCAAGTAAAAAAAGTAATTTACCGTAATTGTGTTAATTTTTCATAAATTTTTATCAAAGCCTGTGACAAATATTATGAACATTAGCAAAGAAATTATAAAAAATAAATATATAAATTTATCATATGGTGCATCCAGGAAATAGTATGGAGTTCAAAGGAATAATTTGTGATACAAAAATGCATGGTTGTGCTTTGAATTTGACAGAGAAAATATGATATATGAATTGTTGTACGGGTTTGTTCCTTCATTTCTTTATTTTCACTTTCTCATTCATATCATCAATTCTTTTCTTCCCTTTCTTCATCTACTAATTTTCAGTTGACTGGAATTTCAATCCTGGTAAGAAACCAGTAGCTTTTGTGATATATGTTCTACAACCTAGAGTGTTTCGTAACAATGTTTTTGAGAGTATTGTGGACAATTCAAAACAGGACTGTTGTCACAACTGCACATGTGCCCATTCTTCTGTTCTGTTATAGTTTTCTGGTTTGGTTTTTACCTACATCACGCATGTTATATGCAGTTGAAAACTTAAACTTTACTCATAG